ATGATCTTAAAGGTCTTTTCCAACCTAACTGATTCTGTGATCCTATGATTCTCTTACAGTGGGAGGGGCTTTGCTCTGCCAGTCCCTGCCTTGCAGTCCATCCACTCAAGAGGTGTGGGAAGAGAGGTTGCCAGTGAAGACTGAGGCGAAAAAGTTGTTGAGTACCTTAACCTTCTCCTTGTCTGTTGTTAGTAGTTTGCCAGTCTTGCTTATCAGGGAAGGTACACTTCCTTTGACTTTCCTTTTCTCGCTGACATACCTGTAGAAGCCCTTCTTATTCTTTGCATCCCTTGCCAAGTTTAGCTGCAGACGTGCCTTGGCCTTCCTGACCCCATCCCTGCAGAACCAGGCGGTGTCCCTATGTTCTTCCCTGTCCCTACTTCCACTGTCTGTGCATTTCCTTCTTGCCCTTTAGTTTGATGAGCAGGTCTTGACTCAGTGGTGCTGGTCTCTTGTCTTCCTTGCCTGATCTTACACCTGGGGATCAAGGGCTCTTGTGCTCTGTGGAAGGTGTCCTTAAAGATCTGCCTCAGGTTCCCCTGTCCCTGGGGGCAGTTTCCCAGGCGGTCCTATTGGCTAAGTCCTTGAACAGCTAGAATTTTGCTTTCCTACAATTCAGGGTCCTGACTTTACTCTTTGCCTGACCCTTATCCCTCATGACTGCGAACTCCAGCAGAGCATGATCACTGCAGCCCAGGCAGCCTCCATTCTTGACATCACTGATTAGCTTGCTTGCGTTGGTGATCATCAGGTCCAGTATCACATCCACACTGGTAGGGCTGTCTATTACCTGGCTTAAGAAGTTATTCTCAGTGCATTCCAGGAGTCTCCTGGATTGCCTACAGCTCGCTGTGCTACTTTTCCAGCAGGTGTCGGGGTGGTTGAATTCCCCCAGCAGGACGAGAGCCTGCGAGTGCGATGCCTCCTGTAGCTGGAGTAAGAAGGCTTCATCATAGGCTCCCCTTAATCGGGCAGCCTGTGGTAGACACCAACCACAAGTTTCCCTTTATTGCCTCAGTCTCTAATTCTTACCTCTAAGCTTTCAACCTGCTCGTGGCTATTCTTCAGAGACAGCTCTTCACACTGTATCCATTTCTTGATGTAGAGGGCAGCCCCTCTGCCCCTTCTTCCTCGCCTGTCCCTTCTGGACAGCCTGTAGCCATTGATAGCCGCACTCCAGTGATGGGATTCATCCCTCCAAGTTTCAGTAATGGCAACTAGGTCTTAGCTTTCTAGCAGCACAGTGGCTTCCAACTCCTCCTGTTTGTTGCCCATGCTGCATGCATTGGTATAGAGGCACTTCAGCTGGGCTGTCAGCCATGTCACCTTCTCAGAGGAACACCCCTTAATTCCTTTGAGGTACTTCACTGGTGTTTCCCCTTTTGGCTCCTATTACCTCAGAAGCCCCTGGCTCATCTCCGTAAGACTTCAAGTGTGCTGCAGTGTATCCAGCATGTCCCAGAGCAAGAGGCTGAGGGCCCTTGCTAGCACCCTGTACCTCTAACCTCGGTGTGTCATCCCATAGCTAGTCACAGGTAAGCCTGATATTATATCCTTCCTCCTTCAAGTCTAGTTTCAAGCTCTTGTTAATGAGCCCCGCTAGCTTGTGAGCGAAGACCCTCTTCCACCCTTTGAGAAGGGTGTGACTCCCATGTGATGCCAGCAAGCCTGGTGCTGTGTAGGCCATCCCATTGTTGAAAAACCAAAAATTGTGGCAGTTACACCAGCCACGGAGCCATGTATTAATAGACAGGGTGCGTCTGTTTCTTCCAGTGTTGCTGCCCATGCTGAAAGGAGAGAGGAAAAAATAACCTGTGCTCCAGATTCCCTTACCAACCTCCCAAGGCCCTGAAGTCTCTTTTGATCACCCTTGGACTATGTGTTGTGGCTTCATCACCACCCACAGGGAAGAGCAGTAATGGGTAATAGTCCGAGGGCCATACCAGGCTAGGAAGTTTCCTAGTGATGTCCTTAACCTGGGCCCCAGGGAGGCAGCAGACTTTCCTAAGAGGAGGGTCTGTCTTGTATATCAGACCCTCTGTTCCCCTCAGAAGGGAGTCGTCTACAACTATAATCCATCTTTTCTTCCTTGTGGAGGTGGTCATGATACAGGGGGTAGGCCATTCTGACCGTCGCAACACCTCTGGTGTAGATGGACCATCATCCATATTATCCATTGACTGGCTTTCCACATCCAGAGCCTCATACCTGTTGTACAGAGGCACCTGGGAAGGCGAGGTGGGCAAGGAGGGGGTTCACCTGCTGCTCCGAGCATGGACTTGCCTCCCTTCACTCCTTTCCTTTAAGCAACTGCCTTCAGTCTGGCAGGGGGAGGATACAGGATCCCCTTGATCTTGGGTTTTTTTCCTGGTGGCTGTCCCTGTTTCTGTCTCAGAGTGTGTAGAGCATGGTTCCACCAGTCTATTTCTTTCTCAGATGCTCCTTAACCTTTCTACTTCCTCCTGTAGCTCTGCCACTAGGCTGAGCAGATCATCCACCTGGTCACACCTCACACAGCTTTTCTCACTGCTGCCATCCATTACCAGTAAAAGGCTCTGGCACACCCTGCAGCCCAAGGCCTGGATGGCTGCATGTTTTCGTGGGAGCTCTGTCTGGGTTGCCACATCCATTCTGGTGAGTGCAGAGGACATGGCTTTCTGCTGGGTGGATACCATAGCTAAGCTCCTTCTGAAAGGGTGATGACCACCAACTGAACTCGCCTCCTGAGCTGGTAGGGTGATGACACCCTTCCTGCACGCCCTTCCGCACAAACTGCCATACCACAACCTGGTCACTGTGCTCCTGGTTGCTAGTGCTCCCTAGGCTGCTTTTTGTCTCTATACACAGGACACCACCTTCCACAATTCTCTCTGCCAGACCTTAGCACTGTCAAAATACTGATAATTTAATCAGTCACATTTCAAAGATTAAGCAGAACTGTTGTGCACAGTCTACTGCGTCTTTGTCATTAAAATGCACGAAATGACCTTTTGTTTGAATCTTTGTGTTGTCGTGATAAAAATACAAATAAATTCCCTAGGTATAAATATAATTGTGAGATCAGCTGATGAATTTGGATATATCACCATCATTTCTGGAGGAACAGCCATGCCAGGTCACATCATCTAGTCAAGATCCTGTGGTCAATATTGGTTGCCTAGGAAGAAGGCAAGCCCATAGTGAGGTTTTTCCAAAGTATTATTTGAGCCCCTAATGATTTGCAGTTGCCTTGGTATTAAATAGCCCCTGTAAGTTTAGCCAGAATTTTTGAATCCATACAAAACTTGTGGTAATGACCAAAGGTTTGTGTCCTGTGTCAGCAAGTTCCGCAGCTTGATAGGCACCTTTTGTGGGAGAGGGGATGAGATTTCAAGCCTGGCTCTCCTTTCAGTGATGTCTGCTCTTCTGAATGAGGACATGTGATTTTTAAGAGGATTGTTGTTATTTGCTGAGTGTTCTGTGAATCAATCAAGTATATCCCTAATGTAAGATACGTTGTGGAAAGCCTGGGAGGTTCTGCTTACAAAGAGTTCTCCTTGTGGCCCAGTTTTCACCTGTGCTTTCAGTTTTCCTGGATAGACGGTTTATGAGAAATATTTGGGTTGGTGAGAAGAGAGTTTGTAAACTTTACAAACCATCCATGCTTCGTATTTCAACAATAATTACTGTGCTTGTGTGAGCTGGTTTTGCCAATCACTTATTTACAGCCCATTTTTGGAACTTCCTTAAGCTCAGGTGCTGCTGGTGAGCAGTGGGTTTCCTTCCATATTCATTTGTATTTTCTCCAAACCCTATTGAATTTAAGAATGATGAATAATAATTTAAGATCTGCAGTGTTATTTTCCTTTCCTTCTTTGGGGTCTGCTTGTCTTGCTAAATTGTTGACTTCACAGTAGTGACATTGTCAGTCTGGTCTCATTTTTCCCTTTTTTCTTGACTTTCAGGAGCAGATAGTCCAACCTGTAGCAATGGAGTCATGTCCACAAAAAGCAAACAGAGTCACAGTAAATACCCAACACTGAGTTCATCATCTTCATCCTCTTCCTCCTCCTCCCCCTCATCTGTGAACTACTCTGAGTCCAATTCTACAGATTCTACCAAATCTCAGCAGCACAGTAGTACGAGTAATCAAGAAACCAGGTATTGTTTTTCCTTTGTAGATGCCTGAGGAGGGTGAGGTGGTAGGAGAGGGCTCAGTCTGCTTTCTGAGGAGCCAAAAGGGCATCTGTCCTGGTCTTCTGAACAACAGAGTAACTCTGTATCTACGAGGTCACTACTATTCCCAGCAGACACAAACCTGTTCTAGTTCCCCTGCTCTGGCTCAGGCTTGGAGGCTTATCTCATAAGGAATATTATGATGCTCTTGTTTCAAGCACTAAGCTGTCCTATTAAAATGATGCCATTAGAGCCCAACATGATAGTTTGCACAGAAGCTCTCCCATTGAGCTGTTAACTGCTGCCTCAGCCAGTCGATTACTGGTGCTAAGCAGCTTGCTTGCCTTTTAGTGGGTGAGGCAGCAGCTCAAGTGATTACTGGGTTGGTGTATTGCTCTCTTGAGTAATTCTCTTGGGCTACCTCTGCCTGTTGCCCGGTTCCTTCCAGACAAGTCTCTGAATCAGTAGCAATTTGTTTCATGCTTGTGACAGCAAGTCAGACCTTTAGAAAGCCTTCTTTCTCCAAGAAGCCACAGGCAGTCCAGGAGAGGGAGATAGTTACTGCTGCATTTAATGGAGTGTGGAGCATATTGAGCCATGGTGAGAACTGAGCTTCCTTTGGGCTCGCTTTCCAGGTTGGTGTTGCAGGGCTGTCTGAGGCCCTGCTGTAGCAGAGGATATCCTTGTGATTAGTAGAATCTCCTGCTAATTGCAGCTGGCATTCATCCTCTGTGTACTGTGCTCAGGACACTTTGTAGTCTCTATCATGACCTCTTGAGAGCCATACAGCACGTAACTGAGTGAGAAACACTTGTTCAGACTCAATTTACTGGAATCATTTGGTAATGCTGGATTTATGATTATTTTTTTTTTTTAAACACAGAGCCCAAGTCCCAGCAAGATTTTCTCATCATTTCAGTGAATCACCAGTTAATCAGCAATCTCACTCAGACTGCTGTCTTGAACATTTAAGCCTAGAGCCCTTGTGTGTTCTGCATTACACTTTTTGCAAGGGTTGATGGCTTACAACAGCCAAGATTTCCCTTCTGTTTAGTATGTTAGTATGTTATCTGTTGTCTGACTGCTGTTCACTGTCCCAGAGATGACTGCTTCCTGAAGGGAAGATGATAAGCTCTCTGCACCTGTAATTATGACAGGCACTTTTGGAACAGAAATCTGTTTTGTAAATTATCTTCAGAAGCCTGCAACAATTTTTGCTACACTGGATTAGACCACGTAGCTCCCTGTAATCGTAACTGTAGTCTAAACCTTTCCTGGTTTACTGGCTGTTGCTGGGCATCATTTGGCATTTGAGCTCTTCCGTTTCTTCCCTTTCTAATTTAGACATCTGACCTTTCCTTCCTCCTTTCACCTCAGTGACAGTGAGATGGAAATGGAGGCTGAGCATTACCCCAATGGAGTCCTGGAAAATTCATCCACCAGGATAATGAATGGCACCTACAAACATGAAGAGATCCTGCAGACGGATGAATCCAGCATGGGTAGGGCTTCAGAGGCAGGAAGAGTAAAGGGAAATAGTAAGAGCTGGTATCAAGAGTTAAAATTGTGATTGGGTTGTGGGGAAAAAACATGTACTTTGGGTTTCTTTCCCCACCCCAGTGAATTAAGTTCTCAAGATGCCTGTTTCACGTGGAAAATTAATCTGTCCTGGAACTAAAACTAGGTCTGGCTTTCTGTAGTCTTGCAGCAGTGCTGGTGATGTGGTGGAGCAGGGAAAGCAATAGGAGTCAAAAGGTTTGTTCAGCGCTGGTCATGAATTCCAGCTCAGAGCAGTCCTGGCACTTCTTCCGGCTGAGGAACTGAACCAAGCTGTGAAAGGCTGACTGATGCCCAGCCACAAAGTGTCCTCAGCACAATGTGGTCTGCTACAGCTGTCTTGTTTGTAGGTGCTTTAGCCAGGAGCGAGAGGAAGAATTAGCTACACTACATCTGAAACTGGGGATTCCTCCAGTTATAATGGGTCTTGTGGCCACCTAATACTGGGAAGTTGGTGGTGTTGGCATCTCTGACTGCAAGTTTTCCAAGTTCAGGATTTATTAGACTAGGGGTTTCTGTATTGTGTACACTGTATCACACACATGAAAGGGTAACACAGCTGGAGTGGCAGGAGTTGCCCCCATAATTTTATCAGAATATTTGGTTTGTAGGTAGTACTCGGGCATTAAACAAACTGAGCTCAAGTTTTCCCTGTACCTAACAGGTGCTATGAAAAAAACACTACTGGCTGTTGTAGTGCAGTGCTCAGAAAAGATTCCACTGGGATAAACTTTGAGCAGGGAGCAGCTACCTGCTCCAGAAGGGGAAGGAGTTTATGGGTAGCATGACACAGAGTGGGCAATGGTGGGGAATGAGAGACGATTGTTACTTCTCCAATGCCTTCCCTCTAGAAGACAGCTGCCCCCAGAGGCAGCTCTGTGGAGGGAACCATGCTGCCACGGAGCGAATGATCCAGTTTGGACGGGAGCTGCAGATGCTGAGTGAGCAGCTTTGCAGAGAATATGGGAAGAACACAATGCACAAAAAGATGCTTCAGGTAAGCCTGGGCCTTGTGCTGCATCGCAGCAGTTCTCTGGGCCAGGACTGGGGATGTGGGTTCTCTTGCAGAGCTCTGGGTGGCCCCCACTTCTGCACCTGGTGAGGAAGAGGGGGCCTGCATGGGGATCAGAGGTCAAAACTCAGTGAACACAGCATCTAGACCCAGTTCTCGGCACAGGAGAGACACAGACAGCTCCTGCCCGCCTTCGCTCTTCTTCTCTCCAGGTGACACTCTACGTGCCTTCCCGTGCTGGCTCCCCTGCCAGGTGGAGGGGGCACCCTCTTTAATCCAGTATCTTGATGGCCCAGTGTGGTCCCTTGCTGCCAAGAAGAAAAGGGCCATTTCTTTTCAGGAGGTAGGCACCTGTCACCTTGGCAATGGCAGGAGGTGCCCCAGCTGATGGACTTGGCGGTTTTCCTGTGTGTTTGCAACCATGCATGACCTTACTATGCCTTTCTGTTCTCTCACACAGGACGCATTTAGCTTGTTAGCTTACTCAGACCCTTGGAACTGCCCCGTTGGTCAACAGCTGGACCCAATCCAGAGGGAACCTGTGTGTGCTGCTCTTAATAGTGCTATATTGGGTAAGGCCTGGTTCCTGTGTGAGTGCTACCCACTGGGCATACCTGCTCTCAAGGGCTGTCCTGTGGCAGGCAAGCCTGTGAGTGGTAGGAAAAGTTCAGAAATACTTGTGTTTAGCTTTTGCCTCTCTTTCTGTTGCTGGGGACTGACAGAACAGTGATGCCGGAAGGGAGGCAAAAGGGAAGCCTGCAGAGAATGGATCCTCCTGATCTGATCTTCTTTTGGCTCCCTTCCTTGGGTCTTCCTCAGTGCTGCTTCTAAGGGTGCTCCTTGGGATTTTCTTCCCTTGCTTACTGAGGAAGCCAAGATGTCTTTGCATTTCCCACCCCTCTTTCTTCTTGCTCTGAACCCACCTGAATCAGTTCACTGGCATTAACAAGTCTCTTTTCCATGCTGTTTGGGTTGGCAGAGTTTTGTCCTGGCATCATCCTACTTTCTAGTAGACAATGCAGTTGCTCTGTTACAGCAGCTCTTAAGTGAAGCCAGTTTCCGTAGTGTTGGCTCTAAAGCAGAGGGGGCCATAAATCCAGTTACCTTTGAGCTCATGTTGGACATAAAGAGTTAAATGGGTCTGTCTTCCCTTTGAGCATTGCCTCTGCATGTTCCCATCGTGTGCTATGCCTGCTAGAGCACAGAGAGCCTGACTGCCTGCAGTCCACTGTTGAAATTGGGGCTGTGGTAATGGTCCAGCCCTGTTGCTCTTGCCCTTCTGGTCATAACTGTGCTGAGAGGACCCTGCTCTGTGCAGAGATCTGGTTATAAGTTGGTTTTCTTCAGCTAGCAAGACAGCTCCCCTCTTTCTGATGAGCTTTGCTCTTTCTGTCAGCAGGATGGGTCATGGCTGGATCCAGGTATGAGGAGTCTCTTGCCCTCCTCTGTGTCCTCAGAGCTGAATGTTTGTGCCTGCTCTTCCATTTTCCTTAAACAAGCATGTTCTTTGGCCCAACAGCTTGTTGTCATTTACTCTCCTGTCTTGAACCTGGTGTAGTAAATGCAGTAGCTTTCCCTGATGGAAGTCTTGTGCTTGCAGTCAGTGAGTTGCCAATGTTGTTGCTGACCCTCCTGGCATCTTCAGCTACAGAAAATCCCATGGTGGAGAAGTGGGTATAGTGATAATGAGGTTATGGCCTGCCACCAGTCTGCAAGAAAAGGATTGTTTCATTCTAGGCAGGGCACTTGGTCCTGTCACCATACCCTGCACATGCTGTGCCATTGCTCAGGTAACTTCACAGGACACTTCCCAGTGTGGGTTAGCTCAGTCCATCCACAGCTGGCCAAACACTGTCTGCTGGACAGCTTCTCTCTCTTGGAAACCCATGCTTGACTCCTGTGCACAGTCGAGCTCATGTGCCCAGATGTATTTCCTAGTGGGTCTGTGCACCTCACGTTGAGTGTACCAGAAGGGGATTTAGAGATTATCTTCTGGGGGAAGGAACAGCTTGATGGACAAACCCCTGAGGGCTCCTGTTCTGTCTGAGTAAAGGAACAGAAATTACATGGTTTGGGAAGGAGAGTCCCTTCCCCTAACAACCAGCATGGGCAGGTGTCCAGCAGGGTGGCTCAGTTCAGCCATTGTTTGTCCAGTGCTTGAGGAGCACAGACAAGCTGCTGAGGAGTGTCACCAGGGAGACATGAAAGATGGTGTCTGGACATGCTTTGTCACACAGGTCGCAAGACACCTTGTCTAGCCCAGCTGAGGATTCCCTCTTGCATACATAGCAAACATGAAGTTGAAAAGAAGCAGTGACCAGTGAGTGAGTTTGTCTAGAGCTTGGGCTACTGTGTGGACTTGCACAAGTGGGAGAGATGGAGAGGTTGCCTCTCACTTGGTGCCAAATTCTCCTGCCTTTTCTTGTTCTTCCATGCTTTGATCTCTCATGCTTTGAGGGTTTTCTGGCAGATACTGAGGCAGCAGGAACTCCACTGCCTTTTTCTTGCTCTGGCCACCACAGCAGCACTTTCTCAAAGGCCCTGTTGAGCTGTTGCCCCACGTGGGACATGTCATAGGTGGTCAGGTGTGTGGAGGAGCAGTGGTGCAGATGCCAGCATTACTCAGGAGTAGCTTCCTTCCAGAGCCAGTGCCTTCTGCCAGGGATGCCGGGCTTGGTGCCCAGGTGGGACTGAGTGGGACCCAAGTGCAGGTGAGCCAGCATGCAGCCAGGATGCCTCTTCTAAACAGATTTCTTTTTTTGCCCCCACAGAATCTCAGAACCTGCCAAAGCAGCCCCCGCTGATGCTTGCCCTGGGCCAGGCCTCGGAGTGTTTGCGGCTCATGGCTCGTGTGGGCTTGGGCTCCTGCTCCTTTGCCAGAGTAGACGACTATTTGCACTAGCCACCAGAGCAAGATGGAGTTGACATCGTTGAGTGGTGCCCTTCACCCTCCGTTGCTGCCACTCTACACCACCACCTCGTTCGATAGCCTGACCTCCCTGCCACCAACACCCCCTCTAGCACACACACACACACTGCCTGTGAAAGGATTGAGTGAGTCCCTCACTGTGCGCCTATTCCTGACCCCAGGAACGACTGGCAGATCTTATTTGTCTCCCTGCCATTGCTGCGGCTTCAGCAGCACTCAGTGTTTCACTGGTTATTCTGATGTAGCGCCTTCCGATATAGGGATTTCTCTTTGTTTTGATTTGAGTTGTTTCTTATGGATCCATGAGCTGAGCTGGTTTCTGCTGATTTACTGAGGAAGCTCATCAAGTTGGTGACAGCTTGTTTTCTTCCCTTTTCCCCTCCATCGTGCACATACCGCATCATCTTCTGTGCTAGCTATCTGAACTCTTCTCACAGTGGCAGTTCAGAGGGATTTTTTTATTTTATTTTATTTGAATCCTGTTTATTAAAAAGGTCTCTTCCACCTCCACAAAGTCATTGATGTATTTATTGCCCACAGACTTGGTCCCAGCCGTACACATCATACAGCCTCGCAGGAGACCTGGTGAGGTAGGTCCTGTTGCACACTAATGATGGGAATTACAGGAGCTTGGTCCTTCACAGTGCATGCCTCTCCAAGAGCACAAGGCTCTCAAATGCTTGTCTTTGTGAGTGGGAAGAGTAGAAGAATTGACATTGCCTATGTTTGTGGCTGCACTCTAGAAGCATCTCACAGCCCTGAGATAGGTAGTTCCAGCTCTCACAGCAGCTAGAGGGACAGGACTGACGAATGTGAAGTCATCTACCACTGTATTGGTAGAAGTGGGTCATGTTAGCCAGCAAGAAACATCCATGGGTGCTGCCTGGTTGGACTGTCAGTTTTTATCTTAAATCACAAATCCCCCTTTTTCTCCATATAGGGGGGCTCTGTTACTAAGAGTCAATAATAATAGTATTTACTGACCCCTCCATGTAACACCTATTTAAATGAACACTTCTAAATTTTGGAAGTGTCTTGAGAACACTAGTGTGAACTGTGCTCACCCTTGCAGGTTGCACATACCAAGATCAGGTTGTGGGTTAGGGTCAGTACTAGCTTTGTGAGGTCTGAGCCAGTCAGAAGGGAGCAGCAATGTTTCTTTAAGGATTACTAAGAAAATTATATCAAATTATATAAAAAAACTATATAAAAAGCAACCAGCAAGGATCTGTGGGTAAATAACCTCCAAGTAAGATGGACTAATGTGTCACTGCTACAGTATGTATCAGGCCCAGGGACTCAAGTGCTGCTAAGCTTTTGGCATTCAAACCATCTGCCTGTAAATGCTTCTGAGCATGTACTTCGAACTGGTGAGGCCATGTAGCAGGACCGCATGCTTTGCATCCTCTGGTATACTGTTAGGAGAGTTCAGGTTCAGTCTGGCTGCAAGGGAGGAATTTTAATTCTGCACCAAATTTAGGTCAGTAGCTCTGAGGAGGACCCAGGGGAGCTCAGACCCAACACGTATTTTACTGCTGTTCTTGAATTTTTTTTTTTTTTTTGGAGGCTCAATGAAAGGTGAACAGATTGTGTTGAAGTTTGCCCTTAAAATGGAGGTTAGCCTGTGGCAGGGCTTCAAGCAGCAAGAGAGCTTGTGTGCCACTAAAGAAAGGAAGGTGGTGTGTGACCTCTGTGCAGTAGCCCAGAGCTTTAAGGATTTGCTGCATTTGCAGGCTTGGTTTGCAGCTGAAACATGAGGTCTGAAATCAAGGCAGAGCAGGGGGGCAGGTGTCCCCTGCACTGCAGAAGATGACTGCAGCAGTGAATGTGCAGATGGTGTTAGAGGTGGTTGGGAATGCCTATCGCTACCTTTTGGTGAAGGTTTTGAAGCAGTGCTAGAGCTGTGGTGGTCTAAGAAAATGTGAAAAAAATTTCAGGCAACATGAGCTTTAGAGATGGAGGAGATATTTTTATTAGATCAACTTGTATAGTTGAAAAAAGCAGAGGGACCTCTGTGTACCAAAGCCTTTCTTCTGGGCAGACAGAAGCAGAGGCCTGCACTGAGCAGAATAATTTAACTTGCAAATCTGGGAGTTCTGTTTCAGTTCTGGGGAACAGCTCATGTGCCTGAAAGCTCATCTAGTGATTTTCAACTCTGCTTGTTGTCCTAGTGATGGATATTACCCCAGCCTGCAGTCCTTACCTCACTGCAATTGCAGAGACACTTCAAGTCAGTGGGTAGGCTTTCTTTCTGGAGCCTCTGATGCTGGACCTGCCAGGCTGCCCATTGTGCCTCAGTGCTGTTGCTGAACCTGAGGCACCGTATGAACTTGCCCTGGTGAGAGATTATTCTGCAGGCTCTCCATTTCCTAGACCCAGGCTTGGGGCACACTGGTGGGCTGATTGTGGGTACTTAGTTGGAAATACTCCACTACCTGGCTTTGCCTTTCACATTTGGCGACTTCCTCTGCTCTTGGTCACCGTTTAGCTTGCCGCTGTCTGGCTGCAGTCAGACCTGTCTTTCACCTTTGTAGCAGCACCATCTTTATCTCTTTCTGAGTTTTCTTTGTTCCTTCTCTTTGTGGTTCCTTTAAGCCAAGTCTTTTTGTCATGTGTCATATTAATGCCCCACTTGGTCTCTCAGCAAAGCTGTGCTGACTATCCTAGAGCTTTTTTTTTTTGTTTGGGTTTCCCTTTCACTACAAAAAAAACCAAGAGATGCTCCTAGATACCTGGTTATTCTGGTGCCAAGAACTGCATGATGGGATGGTCTCTCTGGCTTCTCATGGAGACTGTCCCTGTGGTAGAAACCATCTTGCTGTTGTGTCAAGGTTAGTGCTGAGAGGCCACACTTGTAATGATGATTAATTGCAAGTAGCAGGGCTGAGTCACTCTTCCTGCCCCTGACAATGTGCATTACATAGTGGCAGTAGTCCATTTCTTGCACTCACCAGCTCTTGTACCTGGTGTCCTGATTCTGTGTTTTGGGGAGTGCAAAGGCTTTTCTGCTGTGACATATCTGTCCCATACTTGTTGCTTGGTTTTTTTCATTTGAGGTGTTCTTGCGGTTTCACTAGTGGTTTCTGTTTGTTGTGCTCAGATTCTGACTAACATGGTCGTGACTCATTGTGGGGAAGAGAAATGCGTTTGCGGTGTGTGGTGGAGGTACAGGCTTCAACCTACCACTGATTCCTAGATGAGATTTCCCAGGTTACTTTTCAAAGCCTCTTGGTCTTGGAGTGTCCTTGGCTGCTCAGTTCATGTCAGCTGAGACTTGGTTTGAATTGTTGTGGTCCTAGAAGGTTTTCCAAACCACAGCCAGACACTGGTCACAGGCAAGATTTCTCACCATGCAGCCCCAAGAGAGGCTTTCTAGCTGTGGCATCCTTCCCAGGACCTGTGAAATGCTGCAGCTGTAACAACTAAACCTCTTCCAGCTCTGCCATGTCTCCACAATCATAGGGTCTTGGCTATCAACTGATCAGTCCAGTGTCACCACCAAAGTTCTGTAAGCAACACGGGGCAGCACCTTCCAGCTGTGTACTCTGGACACCAACCACTCTACCTGCCCTCCTCAAACTCAGCGTTGCAGCAAGGGCCTCTCAGAAGGATAACATTTCACAGGCACCTGGTGTAAACCTGCTTTCAAGGGCGGTGAACTGCAGCCCTGCACATCATAGGCTTTGATTTTGAGCCCAGTGCCCTGCCTGTTAACATTTTGGGAACTCCAGACCTGGAGTCTTGGTTAAAGTGTCCTTCAGTGGTTCTGCAGAGAGCGCTTCACGGAGCTGAATTCCATCACCAGGCTTTACTTACCATGGACAAGGGTTCATGCTGTCCCCACCAGCAGTGAGTGAGAGCAGTCACATCAACAGTAACATGGGAGTACTTCAGAGTAAGATGAGGGATTGATTCAGGAGTTGGAGGCATTGGAGTAGCTGGAATAGTGTTTCTGGGAGGTGTATCCACCTCATACACCTTGCACTCCAGCCTCTGACCATCTTAGTGGCCTCTGCTGGATGTGTTCCAGTTTGTGGACCTCTCTCCTGTACCAGGGGAGCCAAATCTTGTTCCTCTTGTTCCTTTTGGAACCATCTTGTTCCAGATGATTCTTCTTGCTGCTCTGTGATCCTATCCTAGCAGTGTTTAACAAAAGCTGATTCAAGACTTACAGGGTTGAGTGAGCTCTCAGTCAAGCTCTCCTGTGAGCATGGAGTGCAGCAGTCTATTTCCCATGCATCCTTAGATGTGCTCTCACAGACAGCTTGTTTTGGGGAAACCTCTCACTGCTACCAGGTCTCCCTTGCTCCTTTGCCTCTCACAGTCCGAGTATCCTCCCACCTGTGTGACCACCAGAAGTGGTATCTGCAGTGTTTGGTGCTGCAGGAGCTGCTCTGGGACCAGGGTCAGCTCTGTGGCCTGTACCAATAATACGTTTGTCGAGCATGGACATAGCAACTCCAGCTGCTCTTCCTGGGCTTGCTTCTGCTGTGCTGTTCTAAAGGGGCGGATCCGTGTGGGACAATCCCTTTTTGTCACCATATGGGATCCTGTCAGCCTGCAGCTGGGCTGGCTGTAGCACTTCTGCCGTTCTTTTTGAGTCTGATTAGAAATTAAGCCTTTGTGTGTGGCCAGCAGAATGGAGAGGGAGCTCCGGAGTAAAGCACTGGGTACGCAGCATCCAGCTGTTGGGGGAGGTTGTCCAGTGGCTGCTCTCCCTGCCCTCCAGCCCCCCATGTGTACCAGAATTGTAGCTCATTGCTTTGGGATGGAAGATGTGTGGTTGTTGGTGCTATAGCCTGTTTCTATTTCCAACATCCTGGTGGTGCTCACCATGCTGCTGCCAACCTGATTCGGACACCAGGAGATGCAGCTGTGACTGGTGTGGAGAATGGGCCCCTTCGGGAGTATCGTTCCTTGTGGTTGTGTACACCTAGGATTTTCCCATCTGCTTCCGTATTCCTTCTGTTTTTTTACAGTGACCTCTCTACCTGTCCTCAAGCTGTGTCCTTATTTTTCACGTAATCTTATTAAGGCATCTTTACCATTCTTTAAATAGCTTTGTTCTTGAGGCTCCCTTGAACAACTGGAACAAGCAGTGCTGGTGTAACTAGCTCCGGGGATTGAATTTATCATTTTCCTCCCCAGGCATCAGGCATGATGAACCATCTCCTCCAGCAAAGCAAACCTTGTTGGATTGTTCTGATGCTGCTGTGCTTTGGTACCTTAATACTCACATAGCACATGTTGCTTAGGTGCAAGTTTCAGAGTTCCTTCTGCTGTCATGGGGTTGATTGAGGTGGTGAACCATGACAGCCAGGCTATGTAGCAGTGTGTAAATGCCATGAAGCTACATGGTGCACAACGTGGTATTGGGAAGCTCTTTCCATGAAGAGGCAGTGTGCAAGTCTTCAACAGGGTAGCAAGTGGAGAGGTCCATCACGCTTCAGTCCTGGGCACAATGAGGCCATGTGGACCTGCTCACAGCATGAGAGAAGGAACACGTTCCTTGGAAAGGTGGTCCTGGTCCACCCCAGAGTCCCTTTTGCAGAAGGAGCAACTTCCTTCAAACCCTCCCTGTGTTAGAGCAGCCTGAGTGGTGGATCTGGAGGGGAGTAGGTCTCCTGTAGAGAGTTGGTGTTAGGACTCCAACTGTGCATCTCTGTCCCTAGATGTTTCAGCAAAAGGGCTGGAGGGGGATGTGACAGGGCACATGTGCTGTGTTGTTGCTGGGACCCTTCTGCCCCAGAAGAATGAGTGATGGAGGGAACTGAGTGCAGCAGCTCTTACTCAGGGCCAAAAGCTGGCTGTGAGCCATGTCCCATGTGCTGTGTAGGTCAGAGACCTGGAGGAAGTATTGGCGGGGTATGTGTGAGGGGAGCTACAGCAGATTTGGGGAGAAAAGGGGAGTGGTTGAGACCCTGGAGGCCTCTTCCAGAGGAGGCAGTAGCTGCTCTCCACGATCCTTCCCTGTGACAAGAGGTGGCAAGTAATGGATGAGTGAATGTGGCGTGTCTGTCTCTCTCCCTGCATCCCACACCAGAGCTCAGAGCCTGCAGCCTTGAGCTGTAGCAGTGCCCGGCAAGCCAAGGGTTCATCCAGGCTGGAGAAGCACATGTCCTGTCAGCTGTTTTATTTCCAAGAGGGAGGCTTAACTCCTGCTCGCAAGAAGCTGCGTCCCGTGTGGGATTTACACTCACATCGCTGCAGAAACATTCCTGGAGGCCATGCAGACCTCTGCTCCTTGTTGAACTTCCCCTGGCCAGGCAGACACCTTTTCTCTGGTCACTCCACTTTCGTCCAGGCTCCCTTTGCTCAGGGGAGTTTTGTCTGCATCCTTCCCTCAGGAGGGAGCACAGGCTGGGCTTCTCACAAGCTCAAACTTGGAGAAGGGAGAAGCTGCAGCAGCTCTGGGGATAATCAGGATTTTAAAGAAAATTTTAAAAATACAAGTGTGGTGACTCTTCCAGACCAAGAACTCTGCACAGGCATTTGATTGGGATTGTCTCTCGGTCCTACCTGTGCACACTCTTCATGGCTCTCCAGCCAGGGGAGGCAGAAGGACGCTGCCAGCACCTGAAGCTCTTGCATGCAACCTGTTAAGCAGTGCAAGCCCCAGGACCTGCCCACCACGCAGTTAACTCTCTTCTGCTGGTTGCTCAAAACTCAGGTATGAAATGCTCCGCTGGAGCATGGGGTGTGAGGTCTTTGCAGGTTTCCAACCAGCCCTGGAGGAACAGCCACTGTTGGGCTGCAACAGAGCAGATCTCCCTCTGCCACTCCAGACTTCTCATCGCCTTTGGCGGGGAGGTTTCCTCTTTGGTACAACATCAGCTAAATAGACATTACACAAATTGTGCACATTGGTTCAGTCTAAGCTTAGTATTTGTGAATTAAGTTATCTGATGCTTCGCATGAAAACTTCAAAAAGGGGAGGGGGGGATTTTAACTGAGAAAAAGCCTATGAAAATATACTGGAAATATGGTAAAGAAATCGACGTTCTGCTGTATATTGACAGAATTATTTTTATTAAAATACACATCCATGTGCAAGAGCTAGTGTGGAGCCGTGTGCTTTGTCAGTCTCTGCTCACTGGCGTGCTGGGGAAGGCGAGCGGCAGAGCTGGTTCAGGCGGCAGCTTGTGTCCCCTCCAACATGGGATGGGGTCCAGAGCTGCCTGTCCATGGGCAGCTGTTGGGTAGGGCGGTGGGGTGGTTAACACCGCGATGCCCCACGACTTGGGAGACATCAGCCCTGGGACCATTTGGTGGAAGGAACTGGGCTCTCCCCAACAAAGATGAGCTGGCTCCAGGATGAGTTTTCCTCATCCAGGGGTGAGCAGACGCTAGCAGAAGCATGTCCCTGTCGTTACGCGGGTCCCTTGGTGGTCAGGGCAGGCTCTTGCCTCAGGCATGTTGCCTCACATAGAATTATTAGAGGGAAGCAAGCAATTATTGCTAAGACTTTTGGGTAAGTCCTACCCAGCTTTGATAACAGGGTATTTAAGGGGCAGTTCATGATGCAGCAGCTGCCGGCACCTATATATATTTCTGCTGATGCTTATATATATTTTCACTATACCATTTTCTCGGCATAGGAGAAGGCACATGATGGCTAGGACAGACCCTGGAAATTTTCAGTTGGTGCCTTTTTTCATGGACCACCTCCTGCATCTTGGGTCCTGACGCCACGAGTTTAATAACATTCCCACCTGGCAGAAGCTCACTTGTCAGGTCATGAGTGGTCCCTGAGTAGGAGGTCCCTGGGGTCTGGATGAGTCCTGAACGTCACTGCAACTCCATTCCCTGTCACCTAAAACAGACCATTGGGGTGGTAAAATCCTCAGGAATAATGTTGGCATGCCCAGTTGTCGTTTTATTTTGTTAATGAAGGGATAGAGACTAGTAAAATAATAAGGATTTTTTTTTCATCAGGGGCTGCTCTGTAGTATGGGCAGATGGCATTTGTCCCACATTTTCATCACCACCTTTCTCATAGAGGGTGCAATGTGTCATCGCCATAATATTCCTAGATGATCTTCTGGTCTTTCTTCCTTAACATTTTCAGCTCTTGTTGGCAGTAACATCTTGTAACACCTTTCACATCTTGTCAACACAGCTCTTTTTGCAGGTCAAAAATTCCCGGATTAGCTGTGTGCCATAGCAAGATTGTTTTTTCTCCTTGAGCATTGTGTTGTCCACTTGTAATATTCTGGTTGTGGGCCTAAAAAAAAATGGGGGAAATAATCTTTGCAACCCTCAAATTCGAATGATTGGGGAAGGCTGCTTAGAAAGTAAAACGTTTAAAGAGTCTCTGAAATGCAGACTGGGGGTGTCTAACTACGAGCTTATCACCTTGTATGGCTACATGCACATCCATTTTTTCTTTCAGAAGACAGCATGGCCATCATAGCCCTCGGGTATTGGTATATCCCAATACCTCGGTGTTAATGTGCTGTGAAGGTGTAACCCTGGAATTTTATGTCTATAAACAGCCAAGCACAATCCATGAGACATTTGTCCCCCAAAATCTGATTCTCCTTCAACTTTCCACCACTGCTTCATCCCATGGTGCTTATGATTCGTGGGCAAAAATGTCGTTTGGGATGTTTTTTCCTGTCCCCTGCCTACATTCAGTATCCTAGAAAATACAGCCCTGCCCTATTTTCTAATCATGAGTATGAAACACTGATGAAGCTTTAGGTTGAGGATCAGTCCATGACACCACATTTCTTGCTTTCACCTTTCTGAGGTATTCCCATGTACACTTTGCACCTCTCACATGGAATGATGGACCATCAGCCTAGTGTTCAGACCTGGGAACCCATGCTGCTTCCACCCTTCCCCGGCCTTGCAGAGGGTCTGCAGTGGGGGCACCTCTTCTGCTGCCCAGCTGAAGGGGGTTGTGTACTCACCCTCCTGGCACTGTGGACATTGTTTTTCATCTCCCTCACTTGTTTTGCAGCAGCCACCAGCATATCTGGAGGCTGACCAAAGTATTAAGGGTTTGGCAGATCAGTATCTTCTCCCTGAACCCTCCACTCCCAACCACCTAATTTTGGAGCGCCTGCAAAGCCCGTGGCGCTGGGAGCATGCTGTGAGGATGTATAGCCTTACCTATGGGTAAAGGTAACCTCACCTATGGGTCAAGACCTAGCCCCACTATCATGTTCCCAATGAAGCATGCTGTGATCAGGCACAGTTTGCTCCAGGCCTGGAGAAACACATGCTCATGGCAAAGGGTTTTTTTTTTACTCTCACCATGCCCTGGGCTTGAATGATCTGCTCCTTGCGCTGAAGAATCAGGAAAACTCAAAAGAGCAGCTTGTGGAAATGAGTCTTTATTATAAATATTTGCTCCACTGGGCACATCCTGACAGGGCAGTAACGACAGGAGGGACTTGGTGTCTGGCTGCTCCATGCTGCTGTGACATGCGGTCCTACCGGGGTACAGGCTGGCTCCCCCTGCGCCCACCACCACAGGACCCTTTGGAGAAGTGCTACGAGTGCTGTCTGCGCCCTCTGGAGATGCAAGGACTGGATGTGCAGGTAAGACTGTGGATGGTAGAAGGAGGATTTCATTTTTTCCTTTGAAGTTTTCTCATGGCTCTCTTCACCCAGGGCTTCTTGGGGTTGGCGCAGACCTTGTCACCAGTGGCAGCCACAATCCTGCAGTGAGAAAGCAAGGAAAGACAGTGAAAACATGAACTGCGAGCTGTTCCCTTCTCATGCACTACTTCTCCCCTCCCTGTGTGCAGCCCCATCCTGGATGGAGGCTTGGAACCATCTCTCCAGAAGCTCATCCCCTCCTCGGGCTGGCAGTGCATGTCTGAGTCTTCCCAGACCACTGGCATTAGCAGAAAGCACCCAAACCTAATTGTTTTCTCCCTGTGCCCACCCCACAGAGCTACTTTCCTACCACAGCCCCCCAAGGAACATACTCCCAGTTGGGACCAGGCTGTCTGCGGGGCAGGACGGGATGGGGGAAGCTGCTCTAGCCATGCCAGAGGTGGGAGGCAAACCCCAGGGGTACTCACACAACTGCAGGCAAGGAGCAGTCACTGGGTGTCTCATAGAAACTCTGCACGTATCGGACAGCTTTCTCCGCATAATTGTTGCAGCATTCAATGGGTGTGAAGTGGGCTGTGAAGGGAAGGGAGAGATTTTGTGAACGGACTTGTCAGCATTTTGCAACTAATTGCATCACCAGATAATGACACTGCAGGATATCAAACACAGGACAGAGGCCATGGAGCTTCTCAGCAGCTCCCATAACATCCCACAGCAGATATTCATTTCCCTTCATGGCAGCAAGCACAGGACTGGGAAACGTGGACAGCAGTGGTGAGGGGAATGGTATATGACCCAGCACCCCACAGCCCACATTGCTGCAGCTGCCAAAGTGCACGGTGAGGTTGGGGTGCTCAGTCTGGGGATGAGGTTTTTGGGGGTTCCCAAGGTGGAGGCACAACTTGCAAGTTGTTTTGGGAGGCTCCAAACAGCTGCACATGCTCCCAGCCTCCAATGACTTGCTTAGCCAGCTGAGACCTGGGGAATAGCTGCCGGAGTCTCCTCCAAGCTCCAGCAGCATCTCCCCAGGGCTGGCTTTGCTAAGGCCACCCAGCACCCTCTCCATCCATTCCTACACCCTGGGATATGCTGCCCTGCCCCAACCAGGGGGTTGCTCCTCCTGCCAGCAGCACCATCCCCGCTCCCCGCTGGGGTTTCTTCCCTGACCTCCCCAACGGGATGTCCCCAGTGGGGACCCCAAGCCCTGACCTGCAGCAGTGGCCCACGATGTACCTTACCTGCAGCATGGTGCAGGGAGAAGGTGAGGAGCAGCACAAGCAGCAGGACTGTCCTTGCAGTGAGCATGGTGGCTATGTGAGGGCTCTTCCTCCGTCCTGCTTTGTGCCACCCTGCCCAGTGTCCATGGCTTTGGCTCTCACCGCACCGTAATTTATCCTCTGCATGCCACCCACTTTAACTGCTTTTCCAAAAATTTTGGACGTGTTCTAAGAAGTCTCTTCTCAGGGACAAGGGGATTTCTGTCATTGTTTATTTTGGGGGCACATCCAGCAGCGGGTGGAAGAGGCCAAGGAGTGGGGCAGCCACTTCTGCTTTCTGTGGAAGAGCTGTGAGACTGCAAGGGGCTCCCAGGAGACTTTGGGGGAACTGAAATTTACCCAGGAAAGCAGATTAAAAACAACTTCTTGTGAAGGCAAGACGTCAAGTCTAATGCTTGCCTGTTTATTTCTAACAGGAGAGACAACCCAAGATCTCTGAGCAGGAAGAGGTCATTGATAGGTTTATCTGGTTTGCCTGAGTCGTCAAAGGCAAGTGACTTAATGATTCCCCTCCAAACTGGCCTCCCCAATGACCCTGGTGGTACCAAGGCAGTGAAGCACTCAGCATGGGATGGGATGGGATGGGGTGAGGTGGGATGGGATGGGATGTTGTCAGGCAGAAAAAGCCACACTGGACTGAACAAGGAGAAACCCCAAAGCAGGGGGTGGCAGAGGTGCTTTTGGTGGGTTCAGGAGACTTTATAGAAGGGGAAGAAATGGGGTAGCAGCAGTGGGGTGCCTGAGGAGAGTCTGAATCTGATCCCAAGTTTGAGTGCAAGCATTGCCTCTGCCTCCCACACCAGCTGTGGGATTGAAATGAGAGGGTCAGAGAGATGGAGGCTTGTGGTCATCAGCGCACAGACAGTTCATTTCTGCAGGGAGATGGGACAAACCCTACCACAACCCCAAGAGAGTCATCCCAGACCTCAGAGAGGACCCCGAGGGCAGGAGGGGCAGGTGGCACAGACCCCAACAGCAGCAACACAGAGCACTGGTGGACATCAGCCCAGCTTCCATGCAGAGATCTGCTCCCCAGGAAGGCAAGATACAGCTGCAGTCTGCGTGCAAGGAGGGGATGAGGACCCAGTGGGAACCCATGTGGGATGATGGTGAGTGGGAGCACAGGAGGGGACCTGGCTGTGACTTGGCAATGAGGCAAGCCAGGGCTTCTTGGAGGAGAAGAAAGGTGGAAATGGACTTCCTTGAAGATTATTTCATGTTTGTGTGACTTCTCTGGAAGAAGAAAGGAGAAGGAAACAAATCAAATGTGCTGACGACTATGGTTTGGAAGATGTGGTCTGCAGGACACCAGGTCTGGTGGCCTGGCACAGTGGCAGGGTGGCCATGTGGAGAGCTGGGCATGGCACCACTGGTTTCTAATGCCAGTTTCCCTAGGAAAGGGCTCTGCAGGAAAGCAACACCCGATACACAGCTCCTGAGCCCCCTCCTACAGTCTCTGCATCCCCCCCTGGCTCTCCCACCTTCCCTTTTGCAGCTCCTACCACATCCCTGATGTACAGACCCTTGAGTCCAGCAAGGCACAAGAGTCACACCACCTCCTAGATATCAGTTAAAAGTGAAAGGCTGTAATTAAGGGAGAACTGAGCTAATGGTTTTTTCCAGCCAACTTCTCACACAGAAAGCCTCATGTGCTAAGCTCTGAGCTCCATTTTCCCACTTGTCTGAGGCACACGGTTGCTCTTCCTTTCCCCTAGCTACTTAATCCTGTCCCCAGTCCCATCAGAAGTGTTAAATGATGCCTCCTCCTTTCCCTTAACTAATTAATCCTGTCCCCAGTCCCATCAGAAGCATTAGTAGATGCCTCCACTATTTTCTCTTCATAAAGCAAATCAGTGCATGTGGGGTATTTGAAGGCCTGGAGAGGTCCCGTGAGGCTCTCTGGAAACTGGGCTTTCCTCTGTGTCCCTGCCCCAGCAGTGGATCTTTGGGCTTGGCTTTAGTCTTCTCCAGCCCCTCTGTATCCTCTGCATATGATAAATGCCAAAGAAAATGGAAGAGCACAAGGCACTTGCATACTAGGGATGCTGGTCTCTGACACTGATGCCACCAAAACCTTCTCTGGAGGAAGCCTTCATCACCATCAACCATGGCCAAAAAAGCAAAGGAGAAACTAATACAATAACTGACTTCCATAAACTCACCAGAACCTTCTTGTCATGGCTAGGAATAATAGAATTGGAAAAGGCAATAGTAAATGTGTTCAGGGAAATAGTATTACAAATGCTATGGTGAATAGTAAAAAGACCTCACAAAGACAGGCCAAATCTAGATCTCAAATGGTGATACAAAACCAATTAGCATTAGACACTCTATTAGAGGCCAAAGGAGGCGTTTGTGCTCTCATTAACACCAGTTGTTGTTTCTCTGTAGACCAAGACAAAAGAATAGAAACAGATGTAATGACAATCCAAAGTCATCTAAAGGTTATTCATAAAATGAAAAAAAAAAAACAAACCAAAACCCAAAACCACCACCACCAAACCCCTTTTGACAGGTGGTGTTGGACATCAGACATTGGCAGATGGTTTGGAAATGTACTTAAAATGTTCAAATCTACATGTATAGGGCTAATGTCTATAATAGTAACCTAGATGTCTGTTCAATTAATTATCGGTTGTGCTGAGATTACGTGTCTAAGCAGCAAGCAATTACTCAGCAAGAGATAAAACTGATGGCAATGCAAATGCACAGGAGCAGAAAAGAAATTAAAGCAGAAGAAAAAACAACTCTTTAATATAGAAGTATAAAAGCTGCCCTGGGGTCCCAAGTGCCCCTGCCATGTCCATTCTCCAGTTCCATGGACTCTGCTTGGAGAGGATCAGAGGTGGGGTGTCTGTGGAGCCTGTCTGTTCCTTGTGGGTCTGGGAACCAGAGGTCTCATGGGCACCAAGAGGCAGATGGAGATCTCTGGGGTACACCAGGAGGTGCTTCAGCTTGAGGAAGCCTTTTAAATCATTGCCTTTACACTTCAGGAGCCTTCAGACTCTGGAGACACCCTGTTTGCTTGGTCTTGGTGCCCTCTCCTGACAGCTGTGCAGGGCTCTCCCAGGACAGCAGGTCCTGGGTTACCCAGACCTCCCCACAGGACCCACAACTGCTGTCTCAGCCAGGTGCCCTTCTCCAGTCCCTCTGCTGGGGGTTTCTGATGCACATCATGGTGTCACAGCACTGGCAGTGACCTGTCCCTGTCCCCAGGCAACAGCAGCCTCAGAGGACTGTGCTGGTTGAAGGCAGCTCCAAAGGATAGCTCAAGCCCTTGGCCTCTGCCCCACCATACTGGATGCCATGGGGCTGGTGCCCCAGAGCTGGGTCCCCATGCCTCTTCTTCCTTGGCCCCAGCTTCCTCCTGCTCCGGGTGGCCTGGGCTGCCCTGCACTGCTGGCACAGTACCTCTGGCACATGCCAACGGGTAGGAGGAATGCTCTGGGCCAACCCTTCCTGGGGATTCTGGCAGGGCAAGGTCCTGCTTAGCAGGACGGCCCCTGGCTGAGGAGCTGGCAGGGACCCACGTGCACCACGGGATGGCGCAAGAGGCTTCTTGGTGGGCTCAGCTGGGCCGGGGTCACGGTGACGCCGGTTCTGTGCCGGCAGGAATCTGCCGGGAGCCGACGCTGGGGAAGGCGGATGAAGATCCAGGATGGAGGTGAGGCCCCGCTCAGCCCCGGTGCTGGCTCCTCCAGGTGATGGGACGCTCCTCCTTGTTCTGCTCTGGGCTCCTCCCCGTCCAGCCAGAGCCCTGGGGACTGTGCTTCATCCATGCCACAGCTGTCAGGAGAGGGCACCAAGACCAAGCAAACAGGCTGTCTCCATTGTCTGAAGGCTTCTGAAGAGTCAAGGCAACAGTTTAAAATGCTTCCTCAGACTGAAGCACCTCCTGGAACACCCCAGAAATCTCCCACCTGCTTCTTGGTGCCCATGAGACCTCCAGTTGCCAGACCCGCCGTGTATCATGGTCATCCCTCAGCACTGGATGGGTTTTGCCTCTGCCATGAAAGTAACCCTGGAGATGCTGCAGCCAAAATCCTGTTCCCCAGGAGCTGGGAGTGACAGCAGCAGGGCTGCCAGTGTGGCTGTTTCTCAGGGACTGGCTGGGCATCATCCGGCTGGTGGTGAATGATGGCTTTTGTATCACTTGGTGGGGTTTGGTGTTTTTCTTTGTTGGTTTTCTTCCCCCCCCCCCCTTATTAAAGTGTCTCAGGGAAAGAAGGAGGAAGTGGGGGGACGTTGGGAGTTATAGCATTTGTCTTCCCAAGCCACTGTTATACATGATGGAGCTCTGTTCTGCTGGCAATAGATGAACACCTGCCCACTGGTGGGAAGGAATGAATGAACCCCTTATTTTGCTTTGCTTTACCTGTTAAACTGTCTTTATCTCAGCCCATGAGTTTTCTCACTTGTGCCCTTCCAATTCTCCTCCCTATCCCAAAATCCTGGCACAGATCACTGGTGAGCTCCCCATGGCCTCTGGCATGGAGGGGATTTCCATGGCTGTACATGCATGAATCTCTTGTCTGCTTCAGCATGCCCTGTCTGTTCTACCTGCCTAGGGAGCTCTGTGGAGAAATCCTTCCTCTGCAGCACAGCTCAGATGATACATTAAAGTCCTGGGAAAGATGTGGCGGCCAGGCTGTGCTCATGCATGTGTCAATGCAAGGGACAAGCTGAAAGCTCTAAGCCCAAAACTGATGGCAGTTTTGCATCTAAAAACCCTCAGAGGAGTCTTCAGCCTCTTTTGGGTCCCCTTGAAGCGAGCACCCAAATGCCCAGAGCATCCACCATGCAGCACCCTCCTGTGCCCCTCCCTGCCTGCCCCAGTGAGACCCATGAGGTTTCGTGAGGCAGTGGGAAGAGCCCCCATCCCACCACAGCCCCTTGGCTGGCTCCATGCCTCAACCAGTTGACAGCAGCACAGTTGCTGGGGCTGGGAGAAGAAAAGACACCACTCTCCAATACCACATGAAATAAACCTTTATTTTGTGGCTATGCTCAGTGGGCAGGTGCTGGCAG